AGTTAATAGACAACGATTGAAGCCATTTTTGGAGGACAGTATAGTTGAAGTGGAATCCATTGGGTTGGTGGATCCTCAATATGAATGATTCATCTTTAACAATCAACACAATTGTTGTATAACATTTTCTTTTATTTAACATTTTGCTTATTTTTGTTAAGTCTTTTATTTTCAGGTTTTATAGTTGTTGCGGCACCAGGTATTCCTATCCCTTTGATTTTTATTCATTATTTTTATTGATCATTACGGTATTTATTTTTACATTGAGGACAATATTGGATTTAGGTTGGGGGTATAGGTATGTTTTGTGTTGTGAAAATTCCTAGTTTAAGTTTTTTTTTTAGTTTATTTACTTTGCTAAAAAAATTTTTTTAAAAAAAATAAAAAAAATTAATGGTTATTAATATTTAGATAACATTTTTATGTATAAATTGACACCACAATATAGAAATAATTTGTTTAGCTTTAAGTTTACAATTGTTTAAGTATCACATATAACTTTATTCTATATTTTTGTATCTCATATCATATTCTTATAAAAACTCATAATTTGTGCACTTTAGACTTTATCAAGTTGAAAATTTGTTAGGTATATTACCTTGAGAACTTGAAACATATAGTGGAGATGCATAAAAACCCTAATGAGTTTTGATCCAATCTTTCTTGGAGGGTTATTTATATTTACTTAATAAAAAATATTTTTATTCAGCTAATCTCCTTTAATAGTCTCATTATTTTTGTTTTGGTCAACACCAATATTATGAATGATTGCTTGACTTTAAATTATTTGCATGAGGGGTGTGGTATCAAAAGTTCTTGAAATATAATTTTAGACCATCTTTGTCATTATTTGAGCCTAAGCCTTATTTTTTGAATATTATTATCTCTAGAAGGCATGATTGAGCTTTGAAATAAATTTTATTTTATTTTTTATTACCCAACATATAATAACCAAGCCAATGAAAAAAAAAAAATCCTTTACCCTTGGTTATCCTGAGATTGAGCTTTTTATTGTTTATGTAATTTGACAGATATTGGTTGAGAAAAAATGATAAAAAAAGAGAGTTATGCATACTTGTGAATATCTGCATTGGATGTCTTGTTAGTATATATATATATATATATATATATACATACACACATTTAATTGTCCAGCTGAAAAAAAAAAGTTGAAAAGAACAAGAAAGACAATATGTCTAGCTGTGAAAAACATAGATTGAAAAAAAAAAGAGAAAAATTGCAAGCATGTGAAAGAAAAAAAAATATGAGCAAGTGTTGTAAATTGTGCTTCTAAAGGGTGAAGAGTGAAAGGTCATGGAAAGAAAATTGGTTGTGTATTGTGCATGTTCTCTCGAGATAGTTATTTGAATTCCTGAATATCCTTCGTTTTAAAGCCCTAATCCCAAGATCCCATTACAACCTTAAATAAAATCCTATCTGATCTCAAGAGTGTATTGATGGATACATGACTCGTGTGAATAAGGAAGAGAATGGTGATTATTTATATATTATGTGTTGATTTTCTTTCACAAGACTATGTCAAATCCTTTTCTTTTGGATTACATTTTTTTTAATGAACATGTGAGCATTATTTTTGTTTTGATCTAAATATCTTCTTCTCACATGTGATATTTGAGGGAATAGTCACTATAATCTGAAAGAATCTTTTATGAGTGAATTATCTAGTGAGATTTGGCATTGAGACGAATAGTTGATGGTTGTAGAGGTGATTACCAGATAAATTGCTAACTTGGTATAGTTAATTCACACTACATACAAGTTTATATGTGAACATGATAAGTGCATACATTTATATAGCTTAGAATTCTATATTTTGCTTTGCATGTGCTTACAAAAAGGTTTGTAACTCAGAATTTTTATATTGTAGTAGGAATTTGTGTTATAAAATTATTATTCAGATATTTGATCACAAGGTGATATTTGTGGGTATCATCTCTAGAAACCCTCACAAGACTATACTCGTCCACTAAGGGGAACTTAGGGGTTTAAAGACTTGTTGCATATGCTAAATGCAATCGTGAAACCTACGAAAGTGGATTTATGTTTTATTTTATTAGATTATTTAGTTTTTTAAGTTTTAGTTTTTAAATTTTAGGATCTATGTATTACTAGGGACTAGTAATATTCAGGTTAGGGGGTGTGATTAACCATCAAAATTACTATTTTATTATATTTAATGATTGGTTAATTACATATTATTTGTGATTAAATGTGTTGAATTCTTTGATTGTTTAGTTTGATACTTTTTCTAGTTGTTTAGTTTATTTTGCAGGTAAATTGGTTGATTTAAAGTAATAATGGATAATGCAAGTGAATCAATCACTAGAGGAAGAATCGTATTTGATAATGATTGAAGAGTCAAGATTGAATAGGAAGATTTGAAGATATGATAACAATTTAATCCTTATAAGAGTCCAAGATAGAAGAAAACTCATTTAAAGTTGGATTAAGAAAGTATCCTAGAAGAATAAGGATTTGACACGTCTTTAGTATTCTGGTCATAACTTTTGACTCTGATATCCGATTTACTTGATTTTTGGGGATTGAAAAGAAGACTCCAAGGGCTACAAAAGTGTATGTCATAAAATTTTCGTGATTCAACCTCTAAATATACGAACTCCAATCTCGAAATTTGGACAAATTTTGTACCCGCGCCCCAAAGGTTTGATTCACGGAATTTAACATTACAAGATTTCTGTTTGGAAAGGAATTCCTTCCAAGAAAACCTTATATCTTCTACTTATACTTAGGATTTATTTTTAGTATATATAAGGGTTCTCATCTAGGATTTAGGGAATGATTCTTTTCCCATCTTTTCTTTTCTAGTTTTAGTTTGTCATGTCTGGCTAGAAGGCTAAGCTAGGGCTAGGGGAGAACCTCTCAATGAAGTTCGGTAATGTTATTGATTTTGAGTTTAATGATTTATGATATTTTGTTAATTTAACTTCTGATCTTATAGCAAAATTTTTGCTCTGTAAAAATTCTTGAGTTGTTGTGTCATGTACATCGATTGTTTGAATTTTTCTGTGAGTAAATAATTGGTTATTTCATTCTTGAGGTAATTATCATTATTTTATAAAATAATAAAATTGGACGATTATTCAGGTTCCTAAATAATCTTTTGATTACAACTTTTAGTTTTCTTACTTGATTTGTTATTTGAATCAACTGACATCTGATTCTTGTCTCAAGTTAAGATTTGAGTCTTTAATCATTATTGTACGGAACTGAGAGGGGATACCTGATGCTTTAATATTTTTATTATATTGTTTTAATTACTCCAATCAGTATTTTCTTAACTCAACAATCTCTTAAATAAATTGTTCTTACAAGTTTGTTTTTTATTTGTTTTGTATCTCTTGTTTTTTCAATTCTTTGTGGTTCGATCTCGGACTCCCGAGAAATTTATTATTTCGCACAACCTGTTCTTGGGTGATCAATTTTAAAGTTGTAGCACAACGAAAATGGGAATAGGTGTCTCGATCCTCACCTTAGGAGAGCTGAACCAGAGTGCTATAGGAATCTGAGGTTTGATGAGCTCAGAGTATCTCTCTGAATCGCAATCCTCTAAGTTCAGCAAAACCCGCCTATCCATAGCGCTGAGTTCAGGACAAATACCTGAGGAGCAAAACAAAACAGGCGAAGCAAGGTCAACAGAGTAAGTCGTCAAAACTGATCCTAGCTTGCTCTGGCAAGAGTTTACCCAAGTTGTCAAGGATAGACTGGGCCCGAGAAATGAGAGGAGTATCTGTTGCATCTGCAGAATTGTATTCCCATTATCTGCCCCCCCATAAAGAAGAAAAGTTTTTTCCAAACCTTGTGGGAGCTCGAGAGATCAGAGATGATAACCTTGGTTTTCACCCGCTTAGAAATGTACAAAAAGTCGTCGGAAGAATGTATTTAATGTTGAAAAACTTCATGAGCAAAAGAACGGTGGGAACTCTGAGTTCATGTTTCTTGAAGAAAACAAGTAGACCCACCAGTACACCCCTTGAAGTTAGGAGAAAGTTGAGCAGGACAAACATTAAAGTGCTACAAGACACTCTTAATAAAAGGGTAAATTGGAAAGCAAATTAAACTAGGGAAAGTCGACTCTTCGGTGAAAATTCGAATACATAGACGAATTGAGGAGCCAGGTTCACAAGAAAGAGAGAGAGAATCTAAAGAGCGAATTTGAACAGGGAAATGAGGCGGTTTTATCATCATAAAGATATTAAAGCTTAAAGTTTGTGGGACGAAATGTGCACAAAAACGAGAAAGAAATGATTGCTGAAAATCGTCAAAAAATACCCTTAACGGGCAAATCTAGGTCACCGTGTAGAGGGCTAACTCGACCTCAGTGCAGCTCAGCCCCTGTCCAAGCTCGGTTGGACCAAGGGTTGGGGGGCAACTAATGATACCCATAAGAAATTCTAGCTAAGTATGAGCTCAGGAAGTGAGGTCAGACAAGGAGGTTAGATGAGATATCTAGAGCTCAGTGGTTCACACCTTGAGCTCCCCTCAGAAGAAACAACAAGGAAAATGAGAAGGAAACAATTGGATAATGGAGGGCATCCCCGAAGCAACAAAAGGCTATAATCAAGGCATTAAACTTTTAACCAACCAAGATGCTCTCCCAAAATCAAGGGAGAGCCTATGGATGGAAGGCAAAGATTTCGCTGCGGATCCCCTACAGTTAGGAATTAGACTATAAATAGTGTACAGTGCCTCCAATGCGAGGCAAGCCATCCCAGTTGTATAAAAAAACACATACTGTAAATCGCTTCGATAATGATTATAAACCTAAGGAGCAAGAGACTCCATTAAAAAGTGGATTAGCCGAGCTCCCGAACTGATGAACCACTATAATTACATTGTGCATATCATCTCAATTTCCAAAAGGATCTTATCGTAATCCTCTTGAGCTCAGAAGCTCAAACCAAATTTTAATTATACGAATCACATTTTGCTCACCCACGTTTTATACACTATCAGAAACCATGAGTGGTTTCTCAAGAACCTTCCAGCAGACCTCATGGATGAAGGCACCACGAACAACCAGTTCGAAGAGCCTGATCAACCCTTGCAGAGTATTGATGAAATTATGCAGATAATTGCTGAAGCTACCATTCCAGGTGCTGGAACAGCCAGTCTTAATCAGTTTCTGACCGGTGGCTTGGACATAGATGATGGGATGGAGTAAGACCTAGAGAGTGATCCTGACCTTGACATTGATAGCAGCGGAGAAATACTCTATGCCATATGATTGTGAGACGTGCCTGGCTGAGGTGGTTAAGGGGATCAACCACTTTTTGACTGTAATACAACTTTCCTACCACTCAAGAAATCGGTAATCGGGAATTTGCAAACGTCGGGACAATCCATCGTTACGTCTCTTTTCTTTCACTTGCCACTTTCTGTAGTGATTGTGTCGTTCATGTTCTGTTGTATTTTGCCACTTCCAACTGGCATCTATGATATCGATACTCATATGCAACTCTCAAACAGTTGTGTAACATTATGATACCGAATCTTGTTGCAATTGCATATTATATATTCTAGCCCATCAAGAACTTGCATGTATAGCCACTTAACAGGGAATGCTTCAAATAGGCAATTAATTTCAGGAAGCACCATTGTAACATTGTTCGTCTTCGGTCATTGTTCTTCTCCATCTCTCTTGACTAACAAAAAGTAGAAATTTGCTACTATGGATTGGGAAGTAGAAAAGCTCTTCAAGCCTTGTGTCACATTGGTTGAGTCAGACTCGAGAGTAGAATGAGTAGAATTTCAGGGTCACCGTGAACTAGCTCAATTCTACCAGATCATGGGAAGATGGAGTTTTATGTATTTTTATTTTTTTTTTACCAATTTACGAAAGTTTTGTTAATTTTTTTACACAAATATCATAATTTCATACTTATGTACTAAACTATGGTGAAAGCGTATTTCTGAACTTTAACTTACATGCAAACTATATTTTCGAAAACCATGAAAGGGTGTTTCCAAAACGTTAAGTGTGCTTGATAACGTTTTCAATTTTACTTTTTTTTTTATAAAAAAATAAAACTAATTTTTGTTTTGTTTTTGATAAAATTAAAAATATAAAANAGATCATGGGAAGATGGAGTTTTATGTATTTTTATTTTTTTTACCAATTTACGGAAGTTTTGTTAATTTTTTTACCCAAATATCATAATTTCATACTTATGTACTAAACTATGGTGAAAGCGTATTTCCGAACTTTAACTTATATGCAACTATATTTTCGAAAACCATGAAAGGGTGTTTCCAAAACGTTAAGTGTGCTTGATAACGTTTTCAATTTTTTTTTTTATATAAAAAAATAAAACTAATTTTTGTTTTGTTTTTGATAAAATTAAAAATATAAAACATGTTTGGTAATTATTTATATTTAAAAAATTATAAAATAAAAAATATGTTTTATATTATATCAAAAATTCATCACCCAACACCACGACCAACCACCTAACCCAACAAAACACCTAACCACCTACTACCACCAAACACCCGACCATCTACCACCACCAAACTCCCACCATCGAAACCCACTCCCACAACCCTTCCCTTGAAATTCACCACCACCCCCCCTGAAATNATCACCCAACACCACGACCAACCACCTAACCCAACCAAACACCTAACCACCTACTACCACCAAACACCCAACCATCTACCACCACCAAACTCCCACCATCGAAACCCACTCCCACAATCCTTCCCTTGAAATTCACCACCACCCCCCCCTAAAATTCATTACCACCCAGCTCCACCACCACCGAAACCCACCCTCACAAGGCCACAACCCCCTGTAACCCTGAAACCCACCACCACCACCACCACTGAAACCCACCCCCACTACCCTTCTCTTGAAATTCACCACCATCCAACCCCACCACCACCACCGAAATCCACCCCTACAAGGCCACAACCCCCTGCAACCCCCCAACCTGCCCCCCACAAATTCCTCTGTGTAACCCATTACTTACCCCAAAAATACACTAGCACCCACCCCCACCACCACCACCACCGAAATCCACCCCCACAAGGACATAACCCCCTGCAACCCTGAAACCCGCCACCACCACTGAAACCACCATTTTCCTCGAAACCCACCACCACCCAAACCCAACACCAAAACCAAGCAAATCCCACCACCAACCATTTAACCAACACCAAAGAAAGATGAGAGAGAGAATATAAGTTTTTGTAGAAAAGACAATAGAGAGAATATGAGAGATAGAAATTTTGGTGTTAACAATATTCGAAGGTAAGATCTCATTAAATAGTGGAAATGAGGCGCGCGTTTTTTTTTGTTGATGTTTTCAAAAACATCTTTTTTGATATTTCTATATTTTGGCCTTGTTTTCAAAACGGGGCAGTAAAAAAATGAAAATACATTTCCAACGCATTATTGTTTTTTAGCAAAAAATAAAAAAAAAAACAAAAAAAAGAACACAAACATCATGTTATCAAACGCTATCTATGTGTTTTAAATATATGTTTTCATTGAAAAGAAAGATAGTTTGTTAAATCAATTTGAAATTATAATATTTTGATAAAAAAAAAAGTTACAGTTCGAAGGTGGTAGGCGAATTAATTATGGGGAGAGGCATTATTGGTGTTGGTTTTTTATAGAGTCTAGTTTATATATGTGATCCGGATGATGACCCGACCAGTAGTAATGTTTTGTGATTTTTTAATGAAAAATTTTCTAAGGCTTAGTTCATGGAGCGAAGGCTTGGGCCGATAGACCCAAGCCGTAGCGCTCATGGATAAGCCTCGTGGTTGCTCCTGAGGAAAATTTGTGGGCCCGTTATATAGCCCAGTGCATAGGACATATAAAATCTATTGTTTGGTGATTAGGGTTAACATGGTGGATTGTACAGCCGCTCTCGGAATTCAACTCTCTTAATAGTGAAATCCCTGCAGCTTCGTGGACGTAGTTAAATTGTCAAATCACGTAAAATCTGTGTCTTGTTCTTTCTTATTTCTTATTGTTTTATATTCTTGATTTGTTCTTCAATTGTGTGTGTTTGTTAGTGGATTTAAATTGTTGTTAAATTCTAACAATTGGGGTGGAGGAGACAATATTTTGGTACGGTTAACCTCATAATTTGATTAGATTCTTCAAGTTTTGTCCTTATTTTTTGTCACCACCTCCATTCTGATAAAATATAGAATTGCCACATTTAATTCAAATAAATAATTATATGAGATAGTATAATGAACAAACCAATATTAAAGCACTGTGATGGACAACAATATGGAACCTAACATTCTCTTTTGGTATATATCTTACCTCTAAATAATTTTGGGCTGTTAATATTCCTTTGATTTATTCTTGATCATTGATTGTGAAAATGATAAATTAAAGGAAAATTTAGAAGACGGTATAAAAATTTGGACTTAATTGAACTAAATTATATTAATAAAACTTATTTGGTTTTGAGTGCATTTTTAAAAAAAAAAAGAAGAGTAAAAGGTCATTTATAACTCCATTACTCTTATCTCTCCCACTTTTTTTTCCCTCTCCATTGCTCTTTCACTCTCTCTTTTGTGTTTTATCTTTACCTATCTCTCCCTATTTCTCTCTCTCTATCCCTATTTCTCTCTCTCCCTCTCTTCCATTGATAATTTTTTTTTAAATACAACTATTTTTTCTTTCTTGCTCACTTTTTCTCTCCCTATTTTCTCTCACCGTTACTCTTTTTTTCCTTATTCTCTCTCTCTCTCTCCCCTTATATCAACGTTACAATAACACAATTATTACATCATTTAGTTACAATTATCTTATAATACACTAAACAATTACTCATGTATTTTAATAAACCAAACAATTATACTAAACAATTACATAAAGTTACAATACCAACTCAATTGGTCATTCAGTGTTTATATAAACTAAAGAGTTACATCATTTAGTATCACAACATTAGTATACCAAATTGACTTTATCATTACACAACAGAGTTTACTATTACACCAACTTTGGTATATATAATTGGTGTACTCATGTCGTGATACTAAATGATGTAACTCTTTAGTTTATGTAAACAACTGAATGACAAATTAAGTTAGTGTCATAATTTTGTGTAATTATTTGATATAATTATTTAGTTTATTAGAATACATGAGTAACTCAATATTGTGTTGTTGTAATATTGATATAAAATGAGAGAGAAAATAAGGAGAGAGAGCAACAGTGAGAGAAAATAGGGGAGGGAGAGAGAGAGAAAATAGGGGAGAGAGATGAAAAAAAAAATCTGTAGATATTTGAAAAGAAAATAAAAGATAAAATAGGGGAGATATAAAGAGAGTAATGGGGAGAGAGAGAGAAATGGAGAGAAAATAGAGGAGAGATGAGAGAGAGTAATGGAGAGACAGAAAGAGGGAGAGGGAGAGAGACAAAGGGAGATGGAGAGAAAACAGGGGAGAGAGAAAGTGAAAGAATAAGAATTATGCATAATTTAATGAAGGGTAAGCAAGTAAAAAAATCAAATGACATTTGAATTTTATACCTAATCACAATATATTTTATTAAAGTGGAACTTAATAAAATAAAATACTTATTCATTCACTTCTTTTCAAATAAGTCTAAAAAAAATAAACTCACACCCAAAAAATCCAAAATTAAAACGAAATCATAAAATAATCAATCTTTATACATGGTAAGCTTTTATTGGAAGAAAAAAAAAAGTATAGAACCGAAAAAGTATAACATAGTTTTTTTTTTTTGGATGATGGAGGAAATTCCTAGCTTGTCTTCGAGGAGATAGAGATGACTTAGTCGCTCAAGTTCGTGAACCCGAGTATCAACCGGTCTCTTAACTCATATATTAGTTAAATTAGGAATTGAGTTTCGATGGAGATTCGAACCCACACTAGAGACTTAAATATAGTTTGTTTAAGTAATTGGGATCCGTCTTACCAACCAATCACATTTTTTTTTTCTTGGTCTAGAGGACTTGGATACTTAACGGACCGTTGGTAAATTATATTATAGTTGAACCCGATATAAGGTGAAAACTGAAAAGCAACAGGTGAGAGATGTGATATTTTCACTTTCCTGTTTAAAGTTCGAGTGAAGACTTGCATGTCCAATTATTACCAAAAAATAGGATATACTTTTTTTTTGCTTACAAGACAAATGGGTTTTTGTTGTTATTCCATAATAATAAT